TATAAGAGACAGTATATACACCTACGACCCCCCGCTGTCAAGGCGAGCGTCATAACTATTAGACCACAGAGGCTTCATGGTTGAACAGATTCAAATACCACCAGATACACTCACAATAGGTACAGCTAGAAACAAATACAGTGTACATGCCTTGTCAAGTTGGAGCAAATACTTTAATATTGGCCTAGATTAATTTAGTAAAGTTACGATATAGTTTATTTCGTATTTTTATGATAATAAAAGTAGCTATATCTGTATCTGTATAATAATACATTAATAGTAACCAATATTCCAGCCCTGTAACCTAGACTCAGAAATACCAGGATGGTATCCGACAGGGTACTATGGATTACTTCAGTAAAAAAGCAATGAATAACAAAACCAACCATTCATCCATCTATCCACTCATCCATCCATCCATTCATTCATCTACATTACCTATTCAATCTATCTATTCCATACATCCATCCATCCATCCATCCACTCATTCATTCATCTATATTACCTATTCAATCTATCTATTCCATCCATCCATTCATTTATTCACCTACATTACCTATTCAATCTATCTATTCCATACATCCATCCACTCATTCATTCACCTATATTACCTATTCAATCTATCTATTCCATCCATCCATTCATTCATCTACATTACCTATTCAATCTATCTATTCCATACATCCATCCATCCACCCACCCACCCATCCATCCATCCATTCATTCATCTACATTACCTATTCAATCTATCTATTCCATACATCCATCCATCCATCCACTCATTCATTCATCTATATTACCTATTCAATCTATCTATTCCATCCATCCATCCATTCATTTATTCACCTACATTACCTATTCAATCTATCTATTCCATCTATCCATCCATCCATCTACATTACCTATTCAATCTATCTATTCCATACCATCCATCCATCCACTCATTCATTCATCTATACTACAGTACCTATTCAATCTATCTATTAAATCCATTCATCCATCCATCCATCTATTTAATTCAATGATTCATTCATTCATTTACACACACCTTCATTCATTCTCTCTTTCTCCCACTCACTTATTTGTCATTCACAATCCTTACCAATAAATATTCCTTTTTACTTTGTTTTAAAAGCTCCTGAAGATTTTGAGTGAAAACCTTTGTGCAACAAATCTAGGTATTACCTCAACTACTCACAAGGGTGCGCCCAAGGTGTCGTTAATATGAATTAATAAAATACCACAAATAACCGAGTCAATAAATTTACTTTCAACTGATACTAAACTGGTTCACCACTGTCTTGTATCACAACATTTCCCTCATCAGTAAAAAAACAATTAGAGCTTAATAATATCTTGTTGCGTAAAAATTACAGGATGGATCATTCGTCGAACCTGCCGCTTTATAAATGACACAAGTCCAACCCTAAAGAGACTAATTACTGGTGATAAGAAAAAAAGATGTGAGGTAATGAAGGACACTTTTACGATGGTGGTAAATGGGGCGTACTGTATATCACCAGGACTTTTTTCAATATTTGAGTACCGGCAATAGGCACAACATGTCAGCGTAAAAACTTATTTATTTTTTGTTGGCTCATAATTAAATATATCTGTGATGAAATCCTATAATCAATTAAAACACTGAATCGCCCTTTTACAAAGATCAAAAAAACTATGAAAAGTGAAGATGAAAAGATATTAAAAGAAAATAGGAATGAAAGTAAAAGGAAATATATGAATATAAGATGAAAAAAAAAACATGGAAATGAGATGAAAAGATAGGATAAGATGATATGATATGAAAAAAATTAAGAAAAGATCAAAAGCAAAAAGAATGAAATGATAAAAATGAAAGAAACAAAAGCAGCGAGAAGATAGGAAAGATAAGAAAAGAAAGGAAAGGAGAGGGAAAAGACAAGCTAAAAGAAAGGAAAAAAAGGAAAATATAAAAAGAAAAGACATGATAAAAAGAAATGAAAAGTAAAGATAAGATAATCCGAAAAGAAAAGATAAAAATAAAGCAAAGGCAAGGAAAAGATGAAGAATAAAAGAAAACAAATTATAAAATTTAAAAAAAATAAATAAAAGGAAAGGACAGATATGCTGAAAATAAAAAGATTATAAAAAATTAAGATGAAAAGAAATGGAAAAGAAAAGGAATGCTATTTCGATTGGAGACCATTCCTGATGTGAAAATATCTAGTTAGTCTATAGTTGGTTGGTTAGTTTTAAAGTTATCTAGTTAATACTTAGTTATTCCAGTTAAAAAATTAAAGAAGCTTAACCTATGATCAAACATTTATTTATTCAAATATTTTAAACTTCTTGTAAATAAATGTGGAGAAAGTTGAAACTTACTAAGAAACTCCCAAATGCTGAATTAAATATTGCTGCTGCCTGGAATAAAGAAGAAAATCAATTTACATTAAAATATATTTTGAAAATCATTTTAACTTTATTTGCCAAAGTGAAGAGCATAAATGCATTATGCAATCATAAGGAAAACTTATTTATATTTCTATTTAAATAGCCAAGTTTGTAAGAAAGTATGACAGTAAATGGGTTTTCTTTTTTAGGATAAAAATAATAAAACAAAATATATATATATATATATATATATATATATTAAAGAAACATTCTTATTTAGCTCTCCCCCGGTATACCCATCGTTTTTATTGCTATCACAGGAAACCAGTGATGCCTCTTCCTTCATTTTTTTCTATAATTACTGAAGCATTTTATTATAAAAGCGACATAAAATAATTATACTTGATTGGTGATTGATGTCTAAAACTGACTGGATTTATTCTAGCTACTTAATTCAAGACTGTATATGATATGAATTACTCTCTCCTTCACTAAGAAAATAAAAATTAATAATTCATTTCTTGATAGATATTGTGTATGGTGCAACTCATCAAAAATTAACATTATCATATATAATTTATACCCCCATTGGTCATTATTAGTAGTTCCCAGCATCTTCGATGACACTCTTTCTACTGACTTTACATGTTCCATGTAGTTCCTAATATATGGCTTTTAAAATGTCAAAACTTTATGGCAGAAATTGTGAGTAATTCTGTTGAAACGAGAAGGGATGTGGTCTGGAGGATAAGTGCCCAGGGTGTGATACTTGGGGTTGTTGTTCAAATCCTTCCCAAACTGGATATAATGTCATATACAATTTTGAAAAACTTTTTTATGATTGTAGGATGCTTTTCTTTTTTTATTTCATTTCTTTTTTAATTTCTTTGCCTTCATGTACATGCTTCTTTTTCTTTCTCTCTTTTTTTTCTTCTTCAAATATTTGTTTATTTCTGTGTTTCTTGTCTTTACTCTGTTTTCCCCTTTACTGTATAATCTTTCCTTTTTCTTCAACTGTTTTTAAATCTTTTGTCTTTTCTTTTCTTTGTTTGTTCCTCTATATGATGTTCTTGATACAGCTTATGAGCAAAAATAAAAGGTGACAACCATATGAATATAATGTGACAATTAAATTAATGAATAAACATATATTTATTTTATTTAATATTAATTAAATAAAAAAGAAACAGAATAATATCAGAAAATATTTCAAAAATTTAGTAATAAACAATGTTGAAAACATGTTAACAAATATCGAGAATACAAGAAAATGAGCATGACCGATGTAACAAGTTTCTCCTCTGTTTTCCCTAATATATGAATGAAAACAAAACACATCTGCACATCATCCACTTTCACCACCCTCCAACACCCCTACGCACACCCTTTCATACACACAATATGTGGTACTCAGATATTACGCACAAAGGGAAACAAATTGAGTTTATGATGGGTACAAAGCAAACAAAATCTGCTTATAAAAGTACTATGAACTCCTCCATAAGATTTCTTCATTAACTGACTACTGCACTACTTTTGATAACACCACCCTAGTAGTTTACTTTTATTGAGTATAAAAACTGGGATTTTAAAAGAGCATCATATATGGACATAGATTTTGCTATTACTTCCTGTAAAAGTACATGCGTATACGCCTATGTGAAGGTTTACAAAAACAGAATAACAGGTGTTAATTACTTCCATAAGTATTGCAGAAAAACTTCAAACAAACTATAAATCAAATGTTATTAGGACAAAGGCTAAAATAGTATCGTGGGAACATAAAGGACATGTCAAATGTTATTACACTTTTAACATTTCATATTTTTCAGCATCTACAATGATACTTTTGCACTTTGTTTCTTTGTTTGTGTTTGTTCTGCCTTTTGGAATGTGTTTTTACCACAGAGCAAAACAAATTTCTATGTTCTCCTGAACAATGACAATAAAATATGATTGATTGATTGATTGTTTTAATAACAAAAATCAATCTTCCTATGTGCAAAGCCAGAGTGAGTTAGTCTCTTTAGGAGACCCATCCACTTTAGGTAGGCTTTCTTCATAAAGGCTTCTGTGTTGTTGCAGAGCAGGAAAAGAAATTGTCCCTTCCCAGTACGCCTGATTATAAATCGACAGGAAATCAACCGATAATTGGAGATCTGTGTTTTTGTATTAAATAATAATACAGTTGGGAATCGGCCCACAATTTTCTTTCATTCTCAACCCCGCGCCCCCCACCCCCTTACCACTCCTAATTCCCTGATTTTAAATAAAGCTCTGTTCAGACCACCGACATTTATTTGACTAAAACATATGATGCCTAAATATGGTCAAGATGACCATATATAGGCACATCATGATCATATATAGGCACATCATGACTATATATGGGCACAACATTGTTCAAAAACCACACACTAATGGGATAATACGGTTGGAAATCACACCACCCTTTTTTTTCATTCTCCACCCCTACCCCTCACCCTCCCCACTCCTAATTTCCTGTTTTTACTACAAATCAGATTCTCAAATCACAGTCGAATTGTATTGAATAAATTATTAAACAATTATTAGCGTCTAGCGAATTTACAAAACATGACGTGTAGCATAAAAAACGAATGCATTGCTATACTCTTTCAATTGTTAGATGAATATTAAAACGTGATAACAGACATTTAAATATATGCTTTACCTCATTCCCACCAACTGCTTTTGTTAGGATGACTGCCGAAGAAACAGGTGGCAGCATACATCCAACAACTTGCAACCTAATAAAAAAAAAATTAATATGTGTATATACATTTAAATTAAGCACTGTTTTTTTATCATTTACCTATTTTCATGAAACTATTGAGTATATGAAAATAAGAATAACAAAACAACATAACAAAACAATAATAAATAGTATTATAATTTTGTTTTATGGTGATTTGCATACAACTTTGATTTAAAATATATATGTAGAAAGATTAATAATAATGTATCAGGGCCTGTTAAAAATGATAATAAAAATTATTATTATTTATTAATCATCATACATGAAAAAGAAAGCTAAAATGATTAGAATAGAAATAAAGATGTCAACAAAGAACAGAGGTGATGAGGAAAGTGCGAAAAAATATCATAGCGAGTAGGTAAACCCGTTCAAGCGCGACGACAACAATTATAAGGAGGTCTTCTTATTCTTTGTTTGAGATGATGTAAGTAGGTCAATGAACCTTTAAAACAGACAAAAGAAATTTTCCTGCTAATTAAGAAACTAAAAACCTATTGAAAAGTGATAATAACCTTTTAAGTGTATATCAATTTATCTATAATAATAATAATAATAATAATAATGTTATTAGGGTTTTACATTATAGCATTTAAAATTATCTGATCATTAACTTTAATTGAAGATATGCAGCCATCAATTAATGTAATAGTACTATTAAAAACACTCCGGTTGAAGAGTTACAATTGGAGATAGAGAAAGTGCACAAACATGTCCATTATACATTAGGTTTTAAGTAGTTTCATCACCAACATTTTTTTTCAGTTCGTCTTCTCGCATGCATTGCAAATCATTAATTTACAATTGCAGGTATAAAGCATTTAATAGTTTCACACAGGTGTTAGGGTTACTTAGAGTGAGGGCTACAAGGAGGGCGCTTTCAAGTCAGGTTCCGGAGGAAAAAAATGTCGTTGATATGTTTTACAACTGATTTTTCTATTAGGCACATCATGACTATATATGGGCACATCATGACTACATATGGGCACATCATGACTATATATGGCTAATTCGGTATGAAAATAATTAGCCATTTAACAAAAACTTGATTAGCCAAAACAAAAGAATATAAAGCAAAGAAAGCTTTATTTTCACTTGTTTTTTGGCTAATTTTGAGAGAAAATAGTTAGCAGAATTCAGCATTTATTTAATAGGATTTGGCTATTTGGCTAATGACAGCTTAAACACTGGGTTAATGAGACACAGATTTTTTGATTATTTGAAAACTGGGGGAAAAGGGCATAACTACCCTTTTTTCCACCAGAGTTTTTCATCAAACAACTTTTTTCTGTCTTTGAAAAATCAGTTCTAAAACATATTTAAACATTTTTTTTCTTCCACAGTCTGACTTTAAATCCTCCCCAATTTTTGTTTTCCAGTTGATTATTTGCTATTCAGACAATCCATAAACTTACAAAAATGGTACTATAAAGTAATAAATCATTTTAACCTTTATAGTAAAGTAGTAAAAATTCAGGTTCAGAAAAAGGAAAACATCGGAAAATAATGATTAACACCTAATGCTAAATCTGATAATCATAAAACATACACAATTTAACAAATATTGTAAGCAATTTATTTAAAAAAATCTCAATACAAATACCATGTAAATATATTATGCATAGTCCTACTCTCCTTGAAATATAATAATTAACAACAATAATAATAAAATACATCATAATCAACAATAATAATAATATCATAATGACAATAATAATAATAAATAATACATCATAATGACCATATTAATAATAATAATAATAAATAATACATCATGACAATAAAAATAATAATAATTATTATAAACATAATCCTAATATGATTATTAATAAATTAAAATTAATTTGGTGAGCATCAGAATTTTACTCTGTTTAGTAAATGAAGGTAAAAGCTGTCTGTTTAAGGCCACGTAAAAAAAAGTATTTTCTCTTCCTAATATTACCAAGTAGACATTTTGAAACCAAATAAATGAAGCACTAGACATGATTCATTATCATGTATCCCTAACCACGAACGATCAAGAGAGAGAATTTACAGATGCGAATTTGCCAGATTTTAACATTAACATTTTTAAAATTAAGGAAATAAAAAAAAAAAAAGTTGGTGAGGCAGAGAAAATTGATGCACAGATTAACTAGAAATGTTTTTTACTTTGGCCTAATCTAAATAATGCAAAACATCTTGCTTACCCATTTAGAAGGTGTTCGTTGATAGAAGTTAAAGACAAAACTTGAATGAGAAGCCACACAAAGCATGGTACAAAAATTAGAGTGAATGACTGTACGAATATATGCAGCTTCAGCTGTAGTAATGCGCTTGCTAAGTCCTAATAAACAAACAACATGAGAAAAAAATGAACTTCTAAAAAATAATAAATATTGATGTATTCACATCTTCACACACCGTAAAACCTCAAATAGAAGCCCAGTGGGCTTAATCTTGCAAAAGTAGCCTCGAAAAGAAGATAGCATGGCCTTGTTTTACACTATGTGGCAATAGACAAGCCAAACCAGTCACTGTTCGCAAAAATCGATTTTTAGTTATTAAAACAGTGTTAAAAAGTAAAATGTGAGCTACCACATGGAAAAAATGTTTATTTAAATCTGATATTTTCTTATGAAGTTACAAGCATTTCAACATAGAGCTGTTTAAAGAACAACATTTGAGAAATCAGCCTTCAAAGTTTATGATTTCGGGCATTTCTCAGGCAAAGATCACCAAATTGTTAAAAATTGTTGTTTTAACAATAAAAATGGGGAAAGTAACAGCATAGCAGGATGTATAGATGTATTAAGGTTAGTTCAGTGTAATAAAGTAGATTTCCAAAATTCCGACATTCCAGCATGTTTTAGCCATTATCTCTGAACACGATTTGCGACAAGTGACTGGTTTGACTTGTCTTTGCCACATACACACTGTACATGAACTTCAAAGATAAAAAATAAATTAAAATCATGCTTGGTTTATACAGTAGTTTAGGTGATTTAATGCTGTTAATACACTCAATGATACAGACTGATGTTACAGTAGCCCTATTTCTTATTTTATAGCAGTAATTCCCAAAATTTACAGAATTCATTTTGAAAAGAAGTCCCTACCCCCCACCTCTTTACTTTGTAGTAGTAGCCTCGAAAAGAAACCAATCTCAAAAAGAAGCCCAACCAAAGTTCACAAAAAACAGCAGCACAGGGCTTCAATTGGAGTTGTTACGGTAATAGCTGAAGTCAAGTTGGGGGGGGATGCGAAGGTAAAGCGGGGGGGTCGATGATCAGTTGAGGGGCGCTAATTCGCAAAATAAAGTGATTTTGGGTGTTTTTTAACTACTTGACCATGATTTTTTTTGGGGGGGAAAGATGACTGGGGGCGCGAATAATTTTTTTGGGTGGGTGTAGCAAATTCTAGGGTCTAATGCAGTGCTAACTATAGAGGTACCATCACTCGCCCCATTAAAATTAATGGTATAAATTTACAACAGGAGGACTGAGATATATGGATGCCAGACAGTAAAATAAGGCCTGCTCAGGGAATATATCGTCCGCGCAAAAATTTGGCCTAGAAATCCGTCAGCACATTTCGGAAAATAAGAACCGATTTTGCCTAAAATTAGGCTTTGACCTAATATTATTAATTATATTACCAATGTATTATGCAGTAATTATGATTCTGCGCACCCATTATCCTAGCAATTTTCTGCGCAAATTTGAGCTAGTTTTTGAGGTATCATCAACGCAATTAAAAACAGGGGCGGATTTAGGGGAGGGCCGGCCAGGCCCCGGCCCCCCTTTTGGGAGGTAAAAAAAAAGAAAAAAAAAAAAAGAGAAAGAAAAAAAATGATAGCCTCAAATGTTATTTTCGGACATCTAGAACACAAAAATTTCGCTGGGGCATGCCCCCGGACCCCCTGGAACATTGTTTTCTCGATCGTCGAAAAATTTCGGCCCCCCCCTTTCGGACATCCCTGGATCCGCCCCTGAAAAAGGTTTAAGTCTGGTTCTCACGAGAGCCCTAGTATCCAGATCGGGAGCTAACCGTTAACGCTAACCATTAGCACCTGCATGAGAACGGCCGATCGGTTAGCAAGCGTTATTGGTTAGCAAGTAGAGGGTGTTTCTATCATCAACCAATCACACGTACGTGTTTACAATTTCCAGTTTCTTATTGGCCAGTGATTCAATCATCATATTGTTGGTATCCGGATCGGGATTTTCTCGGATGGATGTACGGCAGCTAACGGTTAGTAGGATCCGGATCCTGCTAACCGTTAGCTGCTGTGTAAGGACATAGCCTCACAGTATGGTATGAATGGTAGTCAAAATCGGGCTTGGGGAACACAATCCTTTTTTGGCCTTATGACAGAACATTTTAGTCTTGAAATTAAAATCTGTACGAACCTCAGTCCGAAGCGAAAGACCACTGTTGAAAAATATAAATGAAACTGCCAAGTATTTTACAGTAATTTCAGGCCTCAGAATTCCTACCAAGGGAAAAAGCAAACATATAAAAGATGAGGATAAACATATAGTCTCATCTTTCCCTTATCAAAATTTAATTATTATGATATTGCATAGAGTACAGTAGGCTATACAAAATTAGTATTATGATCATCATCCTATTAAATAAACATAATTTTTCTATTAAATAACATTTTATTGCAAGATATACTTTAATCACCATCACTTATACTACTGTAATATTATTTATGATTATTGTATGATTTATTCATTGACATTCAAAGAATATAAAAGAAATTGTCATTGTCAATCCCAATTAAAATTTTTGTCAGAGAATTAGAATCAATCGAATCATTTTATTTATGGAAGTGGATATATTTACGTCGCTGTAAACAAATCAGTAAACGATATATTTACGTAAATGAAACAACGCATGTGTAATCATACTTTTAATAAACTTGCATTATCGGTCACATAAATTTAGCGATTCTTGTTAAATGTCGGCTTTTTGCTGAGGCCCCTTTTTTTGGCAAGTTCAATTCATGAATGTACTTTACCATGAATAAACAGTGCGCGAAAATCAAATCTTCAAACGTGGACATGTTTATTATAGTCATGTTAAAATACATTAACTTGACACAATAATTTTTTTTGGTTGAATGAAATTTTGTAAACAGACAGGTACAGTATTTAAATTATAATTTTACCGTTCTTACTTAAAACATAATCAAATTTGCTACCTAGCCTATGTATTTCAATTAAATAAAATAATTGAATGATTGTGATAATGAGCTAACGTAGAAGTATTCGTTTCACTCTCTTTCACATGGCCACAACATCGAGCGGGGCTGTTTATTCCACGTTCTGCAATCATACTTTGTAGACACATGCACAGCATGCCAATGTTGTTTTGTTAGTGATCAGACTACATGGAAAAATATGTTAGAATAAAACATTAAAAATATTTGTTTTGTCTCACCAGGGAAATGTATTTTATGTATTTTTTACATCTCTCTGGTCTCACTTTTTTCATAATGATTAAATATCTTACAGAAAATACACGCATATTATTATTCGTTGTTTACTTCTTGCTTCATAGCGTAGAGTACTTTGTAGAGTGGATCATGTGCTCTCCAAACGTGGTCATCCTGTAGTTCTTCGCGATTGATCGGGGCTCGATGCATCCGACTAAGGACTATAACGATGTTGTTTTTGTTAGTGACGACATGGGTAAATGTGTTTGAATGAAAACATCTTATTATTTTGTTATAAATTTAATTTGTAATGATTGACTATTGTATAACAATACATGTAGGCCTAGAAGAATATCGTCTTAATTTCATGGTAATTGAGTTTTAGCAAGGAAATCTCGCGTAGGCCTAGGCCTTGTATTTAGGTCAAGTGTGTTCATTCAACATATGATTGAGTAAAATGAACATACTACATTTCCAGTTTATAATATCACTTTTATTTGAAAAGTTAAAACAATGATTTAATAGTTTATTTAGTGATTAAATTACATACTGTGCTGTTGTTGAAGAAAATTAAATTATGTTTGAAAAAAAATAAAAAACAAAATTATAAATTAATCAGCGTGTGGGAGGCCACGCTATATCAAGTGCTGAAAATACAAGTTTATTAAAGTATGACTGCACATGCGTTATTATTTAACGTAAATATATCGTTTAGTGATTTGTTTATATGGCGACGTAAATATATCCACTTCCTTTTATTTACAAGTCACCATAAAAAACAGAAATTGTTTTTGTCTGTCAGACTTGATAGTTTATGTATGTTTTTCATCTGATCAAACACATATAGGCCTAGGCTACATTAAAGCCTGAAAAGGCGAACACATGAGTGCAATGCTGGGCCTTTCACTCAATGTCATAGTTAGGCCTAGTAGGCCCATTGACGACCCTGTGCTGTGGCCGCCAATCGCGCCACGTCAACAAGATCGTATGTCAAAATCAACTGGGCCTTCATTCGGTGAATTAAATTTATAATGATGTAAAGAAAAGCAAACTCAAACAATTCATCATACAAGTACCTCCCTTAACGCCAATAACTGGTGCTAACTTGGCAAATGAAATTACCACAATGATTCCAATTAAGAACCAATTCTTCTTGATTTTGTCTAACAAAACCATTCTGATTTTATGAGCAAAATCGTCTGCTCAAGTCGATGCTCAATAATATAGATATGAAATTTATGTCAGTGTTTTACTAAAATTTTTTAATTAAATTGAAATAAATAAATTTAAATTATATATTTAACTGTTTAGTATTAATTGTAAACTAAAATATATATCAAATAGGATGTAAAATCTATTTTATAGAGAACTAATAATCTCTTTAATTGCAAGCCTAATATTTGCTTGGAAAGATGGCGACGGCGAAAACAATTTTCTCGAAAGCGTCTCTGTCATTTACTCTTCCAATTTCTTGTCAGATCTGCCTTTGCAAAGTAAGATAACATGATTTTTCTATTATTTACATTTGTTACCTCATTTACTCATAACCTCAGATGAGCCACACTCAAAATTCATTAACAATGATTGTTAGGCCTGGACGCTATCTCACTCAAGCAGGTCTGACGCTGGAGAGGGGAGCCTTTTGTGTTGGCCCTGCTTGGAAACTCAGACGACGCGCCCGGCCTACCTAGGCTAGACCTAGACCTGACCTACTGGCTTGTTAGCCAAGTCGCTATTTGATTGTGACCAGTCCAGTAACATTCTATCAAGTGATATGTATTACTGTAAGGCCCTCTCCATTGTCATTTGTCCATCATTATTAGCTTTTGTTTACACTCACATTCATCATACTATTATTAAACTAGGCCATTGATTGTTTTTTTATATTATTATGATTTAGTGTTAATATTAAGGTTTGGTTATATATAAACCATTATCAAACAAACTAATTTCTGTACCAAACTCTTGGCATATGCCTCTAGGGAATCTGCCCCTAGGCCTTGCTTTTAAATTCTTCGCTGGTTAAGAATCTAAGCAAGCATGCAGGCCTAGGCCTTGCTTGGGTTCTTCTTTTGGCGGCGGCCCTGCTCTAGTGACATATCGATCTGGGTGGCATATATCAGTCATAAACACGGTCTTACCAAGTCTGAAGTTCTCAATCCCCACATCCCAAGTTTTAGTTCAAGATGCCTAGATTATCTTATCCGACCAAAATATTCATTAGTACACTTTGAATTTACAAAACTTTACATAGACTTTGTCACTCTCATGGTACAGAATCTAGGCCTAGATTGAGAATGAGTTTCCCCTTCGTAATTAGGGCCTATTAATTAGTGTCAAATTTTTCAAATCTCTTTTGATGCAGGGCCATTTAATGCAGTACTACGGTATATAATTTCCCAGTACTGTACATCGTTCTCGTTTCACCGCTCATCACGGGTGATCTGCAATGCCAGTCTTGAAAAATGACATCACACACATTCTGGCACTTCATTGGGTGAAAAACATTCTTCATATTTTTGCGTAAAGTGGTCCACCCTGATATTGTCCCGCATTGTTTGAAAATCCTGGCTACGGCATTGATTGTATTATATTTTTTAATATAGTGAATTATTAACTAACTGTCTAATAATTTGTATAATCTTCAGGTGAAGGAACCATTAGTTTGTCCAAACCAACATGTGTTCTGCACTCAGTGTATGCAGGTCTGGCTAGAGCACAACCAACATTGTCCATCCTGCCGAGTGCCCATAACACCTGATACGCCATGCAAGCAAATCATAGGTGAGTATTGATTTCAGTTTTGTTTATGCTGGTGGCCCAAGAAATGTGCCGATTCGCCAAGAAATTTGCTGATGGACGGTCAAATAAGCCTGACGGGGGGACCACAATGTAGGGACCCCAGGCAGGTTTTTTGAATAAAATATGATTGACTTTATTGCAGTTTGCATAAAATATGAAATTGAAGTTCATGAAATAAATACGGGATTGCATAAGATGAAGAAAACATAAATAAAACCTACTAACTAATACATACAAATATAACATAAATTTCCTGAAAAAAATATACAGTTAAGTAAATTTTATGGGAAAGATTGTATTGTTTCAGAGTGGTAAAAATTGTGAAATCACAATATTATTAGTACTGTCAGTGTAATCACAGTAACTTTAGTTAAATTGGCAAAATCATTGCCTTTTTTTTTTGGTGGCATTTTATAAATGATAAATAAATGAAATTATTATTTATTCATCCAATTCAAAAGATAGTAAACATTTTTTCTTTATAGGTGGTCCATCTCCGTCAGATATTGGTGATGGCAGGTTCTCAACACCTGCTCTTCGGAAGGTCAGATTCGAAATGATGTACAAAGAATATGAGGTAGAGTTTTTAGTTACCTATCTGCAGTTCCCTCCTCTGGCCTACCATAGACTCACTATGTATAAACTTGTGTCTGTTTTGTGTGTTCTTGTGAATTGGCTTCTGCAGTATACTGTAGGCCTCCATGGTCTAGTATGATGCTCAATTTAATAGCAAAAGGTTGCTGGCTCGATTCCTACGAGAGGCACCTTTTTTTATTTTTTTTTTTATAAAAGAACAGTTTTTTGTACCTACATTAATATAATATAATCTTATTTTATGTCATACATTGTTATATATTGTTTCAATAAAACATTCTGAAAATTTATACAATATTCCTAACTAAATAGTTTGATTTGATACTTTTCTGAAATTAATTTTGTATTTAAATAAATGTGTTCAAAATTAAAAAATATTGAATCCCGACACGATGGTGTGCATTTGGATACCTGGAGTATGTATTATACTATCTTATCTGAGATTAATCAGTGGACCTTTCGGTTAAATATGTTCAGTAGATATATACAGTATTAAGTATTAAACCTCATAAAAACATAATTTAAAATGTAATTAAGTTTGAAAAAAAAATTAGCAAACCTATCTGACAATCTGATTGATATAGTTTTGAATGATATATGTAATTAATAATTTTATATATACCATTATAATTATAAATCAGTTATCACTTTATGAATCAATATCCTTTAATGATATTCATGATTGAATCCAAAACTTTTTTCAAGCAATAATATATTTTTTTAGAGATTTGTCTATTGAAAATAATAATATAAGATAGATAAATTTTCATTGTCCATCAAATCTGTATATGTTGAAAATGCATGAGTCCATTTGGCGTAAAATACAAAAACAAACACATTAATAGACCTTTCCGAAATGTCAATCAAACTTAACAACTGACTAATCAGAACAACCCTAGGAATACGCGCGCGTCTTACAAACACACGTGTTGTCCCACAAACGCACATGTTCGCGTATGTTTTAACACTGCCGTCTTGTGGGACCTTAGCAACAAAATCCAAGGGGCGGAGCTTAGTGGAAAGGTCCATTAAATTGAATCACAATGCAAATTGCAAAGTTTAATGTTGATTTGTAAAGCGAGGCTCAGAGTTTTGTCTGTCAGATTTGAGGAACCATGTTTGATCATACAGTATAGTGTCTGATGAAGTTTGATGATGTGGATTTTGAATTTGAAAGACACAATATTTGTTTGATTGAATAATGTTTAAAACAATAAATATTAATAATTTGTCCATATGCTTGTCACTTGTGATGTTTATGCCTGTGCTTTACGTTTTGACAAAAAACAGCATAAAATATATTTCAGAAGCTAATTGTTAACAGGAAATCATTACTTTTGTACACTTTATTAATTAGACTTAAAAATGATTAAATTTTCTTTTGTTAAGTATTCTTGATATATCTATTTTTTTCATTTGTTTATTTATTTTTTGTCTTTTCCTATTGATAGGATGAAATTACAAAGTTATGTGACGAGATAACTTCACTCAAGAAAAAGAACAAGTGCCTTGAGATATGCTTAGAGGAAAGTTCAAAAAAATCTTCAGCTACAGCCAGCCAAGCATTTGCACTTCGTACCACTCAAAACCCAACCAGTGAGGAAGGTAATGAAGGCAAGCCCAGCTTATCAGAAGCTGAGCCTAATGATCAAGTTGCATCGCTTATGAAGCTCACAAAAAATCTAGAAATAGCGACTGCTACGTACAACCAGGTCAAATCTGATATGGACAAGTTGAAGCAGGTAAGGATTATCTCAAGCATTAGTTTGTATGTATGCGTTTTTTAATACAAATATTATAGTTTAGTATTTAAGTGTTTGCTGTATTGAAATTTAATGATTAATTGATAGATAGGGTATATTTTTATATATATTTTATATTTTTGTATTTCAGTGGGCCTCTGAATATAAGACATGTTTACCCACTCAAAATATTGTTAATAAATAAATAAATAAATAAATTATGGAAACAAAATTACATTAATTTGAGGGGATACGATTTTAGTAGTTGGTAGTTTTTTGTCTTGCTTAACTCTGTAAATAATTTTGTATTAATATAAAATTTTATTGAATACATATTCATTTGAGGACCAATATGATGGTCAACCAACATAATAAAGAATTATATATTTTAAGATAAAATATATCTGACAAAGTTACATTAAACATTCATTTTTAAGTCAGAAAAATCAAAGAAAAAATAATTAATGAGAATTTCATTCTTATTTAAAATGCATATTAATTTTAAAGTTAATCTATTTATTATTTATTTAAAGATAAAGTATATCTGATAAAGTTACATTGAAAAGGTAATTTTGAAGTCAGAAAAAACAAAGAAAAATAATTAATGAATAATTTCATTCTTTCATTTAAAATACAATTTCATTCATTCAAGTTGATTTATATTATAGTATTACTTATGGAAGTCAATATTGTTTTTAAAACCATTGTATAGTAATTATGTAATAAATGTTTTTTTTAAGATTGTCTACAGTGTTTGTCTTTACATGCCTCGAGTCAAGGAGTGACCGCTTTTATAATTTATCATTCATTCCTAATTCATTTTCCATTTATTTCAATCATAATTCAACCTTTTCTTGCGGTCTGTGTCCCTTTAGTCACATGATTAAATATGATAATTTATTTACAATGTAGATAAGTTATTAATAGAAAAAGCGCGATACTCTTATTTTATTCAGAGTCATCAATATTTGGAGTTGATTTTCTGACAATTTCTAGTTCAAATCTAATAGAAAATGCTGTTTCTTATGCTTAGAAACATCATTCGGAATACCATAGGGGCTCGACAGTGGCTCGTGTAGTTCACCAATTACTGGGAATATTATATCTATTTATGAATTTCCATAGATTTCCTTAATTATGGATGTAATTTTAACACCTTCTGAAGGAGATGTTAAGATAAAGCCGCCAATATCATCAGCGCTTTGACATTTTGAATTTATTTAGACGATTTTTTGATTATCTAATTTTTTTTCCCCGATATTTTAAAAAGAGCATTTATGACACATTAATTGCACCTTTTTAAATGTAAATTTAGCTCAACTTGATACTACACTTTAGTAGCAGTCTTAATGCGCTAATGGTCTGTTCATTGTTAGCATTATAAATCAGTAACTTACTAAATACTTTTAAGGGGCATTCACGGTAAACTTTTGTATCCCCCTACAGTACTTATCTCAATTGGTTTTCTGGGCTGTTTAAAGTACAAGACTGTAATTCTCATTATGTGCAAAAAAGAAAATGAAATATGTTTGTCTACTTCAAATACACTGATTTTCAACACAACTGTATTTAGTGTGTAGCATGTTTTTAATATTTTATTATCTATGTCACAATCAGATGTAATGTTTTTGTTGTAGTACACAAAAGTGCTATTGATTAGAAAATAAAAATACAGTAGTGTGAAATAGTTTTATATACTGCCCTCTAGAGTGAGTATAGTGACAGATTATTGTCAGCAGCAGTTATGTTAAAGTTCGTTCAAGTGTATCCACAATGTCTACTTAATTAGAACATCTAACAGAAACGATATCCCCAAGTTACTTTGAAGGGGATAAGTTCAAAATAGCATCACTTTTTTCCCGTACAGTTTCAATTTTCTGTTTTTAAGTTTTTGCGCCTTGCAGGGAAATTTATTTGAAGGGTGTCAACAAATTGCCTTTTTATTTTTGTAGTTTGATTCATAAAGCATTCATAAAGATAATGTATAAATGCCACGAGGAAATTTGTTGTTGTTTTTCTGTTAAAATGGAAAATTAAATAGTTTGAGTGAGGTCTGTGATAAGTGGTGTTACCGTTACTTTGTGTGTATCCTATAGAGACATGGGTTCACGAATGCAATTGAGAAAGACAAACCAAACAACAGAAGGTTCATTCGTGTGTGAACCTGATGCTAAAAAAGTAGCTAAATTAAGCTTTGCTAAGTCTCGGGAGAGGATAAACATATTTATCAAGGTTCTAGTGTTAGTAGGGCAGTAGCTCGGTGGTTGCCTGCCAATCCAAAAGTCATGAATTCAAATCCTATGACAACACAAGTTTTTTTTTTCCCCAACTAAAAAACATCTCAACTCATTAAGTCTCAAAATGAGCCTGGGTATTCAACCTATTCAAGCTTGTGGCCTGTTCCAAGCTGCTGAGACCAGTGGCAGGCCAACATAAATTGTGTAGGTACTTGCTTCCATTTTTTCAATGTTAACCCAACCATTTTGTTTTATAGCAGTGGATTCGAATTAAAAGGAAGTACTTTCGCAGATAGGGGTAAAATATGATCATGGCACCTCAAGATGGTCGGAAATGGCACTTTGACTATAATTTTCTTTTCTTCCTCATCTTATTTTATAATTGTGAAAAAAAAAAAATAAATAGAAATTTGCACTCCAGGTTCCACTAAAAATTTTCCTAGCACTTAAAAAAAATCTACTTATGTACTAGAAAATTAAATCCAATGCCAGTGCTAGAAGTTCCCCTGCGGGGAGTCTGATTCTAAAAAGGGCCTGAATTATTTAAAAACCCCCCTTCCCTCTCCCCATGGTTGAAGATGAGGTGATCAGATGGACACCTAGATTCCTGGACATGGCACTTTCTGACTGCAAAAATAATATGTTTTCAAAGCAGTGTTTTCAACAGAATAACATGCCCTGAGCCTGCTGGCTCCGCAAATTGTTATACATCTCATCATATAGCGACCCCACTTAATCCATTATTCCCTATTAGCTTCCCTTCTCCACATGTCAATACTCTATGCCATTAGACAGTGAGCTGCACTCAGAAAAAGCCAGATTGTTGTTAAAAATTCTGTGGTAGGTTGTGTTTCTATTAGCAAAAAAAAAAAAACTTTTTCTAAAAATCCGCTGAAAAATGATTTGTTTTTTTAGCAATATCACACGAGCCGGATTAAAATCTTTGGCTGGCCGGAGTTGGCCCGCTGGGGCCGGGGTCGAACATCGGGGTATTAAAGCATCATATTATTTCATTTATAGGGCCCTCATTACCATCCAGGATACTTTATAAATAAGGGTTCTTATAATTTCAAAAAAGTGATGTAATTATTAAATTCTTTGGAAGAGGCTGTTTGGAGCAGCAATTTCCATTCAGGTATTGAACCTCGTTGTTGAGTGTTTCAACTAACCATTCTCGGCCAGCCATGCTTAGGTATCCCAGCTTATAACTGTGGCTCACAGTATGTTTCAGCCCTAGATGCGAGTATTTCAGGGCTTATATAAATAAATTAAATATTGTGGCTGCCTCTCTTCAATATGGATAATATCAGGCCTGACATACCAAGATAAAAAAAAAGATGGAAAAATTGTTTTTTAAATTGTTTTTTTTTTCAATTGAAATTGAACAGCAGATAGCTGGTTTAGATAGTTGCCTTATAATTGTAGAGTCCTGTTCCAAATTCTGAAAACAGCAAGGAGTTTTTTCATCATTTCTAACTGTAAGCCTTATATTGCATCTTAGTTTTTACACATCTGTTGAAAATTAAGTTCATTCCATCCCTATAAGCAGTCACTCAATTTTTAATTAGTATGAAGACCGAACCAAGTGTATCCTTAAAAATGAGCTCAAACAATCCTACCATAAGGGGTCGTTCACAATTATCAGCATTTTCACAAGTGTACAAACAGTATTCTTTTTCGGTACCCCTCCCTTTGATGTGAAAGTGTACAAAAAAAATGTTGATTTTTGCAAAACCATTCTCCATTTTTTTGTGAAGTCAACTAAAGCAATGTATTTGATTGCTTAAAAATAAATATTATATCCATGGTTGCATTATAATTTCACCATTATTTTTACATATTGCATGTTATTTTGAATCAAATTTTAATGCATATGTAAGAGTGTACAAATTTGTCTACCCCCTCCCCCTAGTGTACCGTTTGATAACGACCACCAACACAGATATAAATTATCTAAAGTAAATGTATGCAAATTTAAATTAATTAGAAAAAAAAATGATAATTTTTGATAGGATCTGAGCCCGGAATCCTTGTATTGGAATCAGGCATCTTACAAATAAGCATGTTTTAAAGCAAATTTGTCTGCTTCGCACAACTTGCTTAATTACTTTTTGTAAACTTATGAGAAATATGGATTTCAGTAATAATTTGCATTGATGTTGATTTGTGTGTCTAAACATAGTAAGAGATGACTTTCTGATGAAACAAATTTACTAGCAGTTAATTGGATGAGGTTTTAATTACGTAGATTTTACCCTTTAACCCCGAAGTATCGAAGAGATACCTCAAGACTTACAAAATGGGCTTCAATCCATATTTCTAATACATATCAGATATCGCTGTTGCATGTTCATTAAATGCGGTTAATTTTGGTAGAGATTGGTACACCATGTTTACTATGAAAAAGGTGTCTGAGTTATTCAATGCGATAACGAAAAATGGCTCATCTTTAGAAAACCCACAGCTAATAGTTGATTTAAATTGCATTGAAACACATCCATCCATAGGGAATGGAAGATGGAGGCAGTTCGAATTTATTCCCAAGGACACTGCATTTCTATTGTCTAAAGAAAAATGTATTTACCGATTGTGACTTGTGACTCGTCGCTGTATGATTTTAGTGTAGGCGACGAGTCGCATTCCGCTTGATTAAGCATTTTGTTGTCTATAAATTTAGAGGTGTTAAGATATGCTGTCTTTGTTATCTATCGTAATTTAAAGTAAAAAAAAGGAGGACAACAGATTTGTTAAATTTTCAAAATACACTATTACTAAAGAAATTTCATGATAACATAGTTTTTTTATAAAGATTTTTTTTTTTAAAGATTGTCAGAGGCAGGCGGAAAAATATTCAAAATAAAGTTTTGTTTTCTTGTTTTAGCAAATAGTTTTGCCAAAACATCCTGATGAATGATAAAATAAAAATAAAATTTTATTGTTGAATGTAAGGAGTGTAGTAATGGGATGGTTAAATGCTTTAAATTTTTATAAATAGGAAGAAATATACATATCCTATTTTGGAGATTTCAAGGCAGCGGCGGGCGTAATAAAAAATAAAGAAAAAAGACGTGTCAGTATTGGCCAAAAATAAAATTTTATTTTTATTCGAAATAATCAATTTTGGAGGGTGGCAGTCTCACCTTATATAATCATTATCTACTTTTCTTATGCATTGATTTTACGCAGTATTTAATTTCTATATTGTGAATTTTTTTTAAAAGTATATAATTCCAAAACCTGGGACTTACCAACACTTGTATTCATGGATGGATTAAGGAATTTGAAATATATGGGGCCCATAAAGTCAATTTTACATGGCTAAAGCACTCTCAGATTAATAATGTTAGTGTAATTTCCTCTCGCCCTCGCCTTTCTGTTTTTGAAAACTGACCCCCCACCTCTTGAATCATGCTATGGTATTTTACCAATTACCAAAGTATAAGACATTCCCACTTGCCCTAAGGAACTTAAAACCATACATTAACTTTCTACAAAACCCTGTAAATATACCTAAGCATTTCTACTGTACTTATGCCCTAAGTATAGACATATTTATTTTGGCCTATTTCCTCCCGTAGTCAATTATCAGTTCTACTGTAACCCAGATATTTCAACACCTCTGTCTCACTTTTAATTCTTTTATGCTTCGATCCTTTGATCCTTCTGAATAATTCACTCTTTCTCACTTCAAGCCAGTGCTGTATCTACAGTGGTGGGGGGGGGGGATTGCTTGTGGCACCCCAGTCGCCCCTCAAAAAATCACATCAAATTACCTTTTTTTGCTAGCTCCCGCACCCCCCCACCTAATCATTGAGGCCCCCACTTTACATTCGCAACCCCTAGACTCCTATGTACAGTACGCCATTGTCTCAAGCCCTCTGATTTCTAGTGACACATTTGCCCTTGCACAGTACTTATTTTTAAATGTTTTACCTAATATCCCCCTGTACAGGTCAACACAAAACTAAAAGACGAAAATGCTCAACTTCTACGAGAGAATGGACGACTAAAACAAGACATCACCAGATCGCCGAAAAAGTAAGTCATAACACATGCTGTTCGTACATGGGTGCGCATTCACGCGGGCGCAATGAGAGTAGGCGGGATAATAATGTAGTTGGATTTATGTAACGCTTTATATCGAAACGGTCTCAAAGTTTTCATGGTGTGGACTAGCTCCTGCTTCCAGTCTCTTCATGTCAGCTACCTGGTAAACCAGTACCAGCTACTCTCATCTGTCCACAACAGGGGCCCAATGGGCCAGTACACCGGGGTGATCCCTTACTCGTCTTGAAAGATGTACTGGGTTTTTTTTAAAGTGTACATGAGCTAAATTTTGTAAACTGGGCCTACAGTTTCTAATCCTTTATTCGAAAGACTTTTTCCACCATTAAAACCATAGGCAAGCGTGTCGGTCAAACCATAGAGAAAATAGAACTGTTCTATTTTCTCTATGGTCAAACCAGCACAAATATTATGGTTAAGGAACAATGTCCATTACATGCTTTTATGGGGCTGAACTCAAGCTGCTAAGTGTCCCAAAGGGCCAGCCAAAAATTCCAATTGGACAAATAAAAAAAAAAAGGAAAATTTATTTTTATTTTACTTTTATAATAGAATATTATAGAGAAGAAAATAATACTTAACAAAAGAAAATATCCAGAAGAAGATGGAAAGGACATTACAAGATAGGATGAGAAATGAGTTGACCACTGCATTGCTCATCTTCAGCGATGATACAACATCTGTTTTCCTATCCTAAAGCTACTTATCACTACCACCGTCATCCTCCAAGATTAGCTACGGCAAAACCTTTCAAACCATTTATTATTCATATTGCCTAACTCTTTTACAATAGTAAGCAACTTAGCATACATGTTACCAGAATCAATTATTCAATGGAAGATTTTGGGAAATTGAAATTTGAAGTTTATTTTCGCATTATACCATTATGAAGACACTGCAAAGAAATCCTCTAGAGACTGGCGTAAACTTGTATCCATTTGACTGGCCTTATGGAGGATCCTATATGGTTAATATTGATGAGTTTAAAGCAGAGTTAATTCTCTCTTTCTATTAAAAAAAACACATTTATCCTGTTCTTGAAAAACCATTCAAAGTACCTGAATGTGAGACAAGCTGAGCACTTAATTACCAATTAAATACAAGTGGGATAAATATATTTCTCACCCTAACCTTTTCCCTTTAATATTCACAATATATCTCATTTTGAATTCTAAGTAAATCACATTTCTCTTAAATGCATATAAACTCACAATTAGAGAAAATTTTTGAAAAAAAAAAAATATTCTCACATTTTGTTGTTATTTTATTGCATCCGAACTGTACTATTAACAAATAACACTAAATTCGGGCATGTACTACGGTCGTAAGACTGTCGCACATGAATCCAATTCCCCTACCTGTGAGCACTAGACGATGCGAAGCCGTCTGCTGATTGTGGGTGGCAGTCTGAACGGATCGTCATACTCGGCTACGACATCAAGATTTTGATTTAGGTCTGATGGCTCAGATCCTTCCGTAACCCTCCCAAAAGTAATAGGCAGGATAAACGACAATCTTTATATTTGCTTTTCTCAGTTGTCACAACCGCTTTGGCTACCACAGTTTCAAATTTAAAGAGGACAAAATAAAGAAATTTTTTTTTGTCTTAATTTCTTAAACAGAAAAAATAATATTGTATACACTGCTTTAATTACTGTTGCATCATTGGGAATATACAGGTATTATGTATGGTACTTGTAAGAAAAACTTTGGTTGGGACTAAAACTGGTCAAGTCTCCACTTTTTCCTGTCATAGATGCAATAAAATTTATACTATATGCTATTTCCTTCTTATTTACCTCTGTTATATGCTGACAATTCAAAACCATTTATCAGCAGAATAAAGGAGGCAAAATACTAGTTATTTGTTGTGGTACTTAAGCGACAGTTTCTGAGCTTGGTGATGGCTTTAATGTAATCCCTTGTTAAACATACGATCCTCTTTTTGTTCTCATGTTCTCCAGTCAAAATGATCATGTCGTTATCCCCACACAGGGAGGTTTTAATTAAATTGTACTTGTTGAGAATTAACAGTTATAAGTCACAATCTAAAACAAGCCTAAACAGAGTGTTCTCTGCAATTGCCTAGACATCAGTAAGAAGATTAGACCGATGATTAAGGTGTCCACTGCAGCTATTGTTAATGGTTGTTTTAATTGTGACTGCAGCAAAGGAGTGCAAATTCTTGGATGGAGAATGCTACTACTACTACTACACACAATACAAGAGTATAATGCTTTAGAGTTACTGACTTTTGTTTTGGGGAAACAATGCTCTTCAGTCACTGATGATAGTAAGGGATAAGCCCGGCTGAACAATATCGATTCAGTGATTGTATAGGTTTGTTTACATCCCTGTTACAATGGAGGAAACATTTTGCCTGATTAGTGTAAACATCTATAAAATATAAATATATAGGGTGTTTGTGGAGGCATAATATCGAGCATAATTTAAAGGCTTGTGATTGATGTCAAATACATTGGTTCCTTTTTTCTTTTATATTATGTTTATTGTTTTTAATGTACTTATTATTATTATTCTTTTCATTATACGGTAGTTTCATCTGGTTTGCTTATTTCATAGTATATCCATTGTGCTTGGTTTATTATCGATAAAACAGTTCTACAGTTAACATTTTTATTTTTTTCAAAATATATTTATTACATTTATTTATTGTAAGGTACGAGAAGTACAGAGCCGCTGCAGAGCACAGTCGCTTATTGCAATGTGAGAAGCAAGTTAAGCAGCTAAGAAAAGCATTAGAGCGATCAGATAACTATATTGAAGAACTCGAGAACCAATTGGAGATGAGGAGCAACAAGGTCAAAACAGGGGACAGAAAAGATGACAGTGGGGGACAAAGAAAATATAAACTTGCAAATGTGGACTGCTCTAGCAAAATGAGAACAGGTAAATAATGTTTTCATATTTGTTTTGGGGATAAATACATGAAATGAAATAATAAAAAAGAAAGTTTATTTTATTTAAAGTATTGTATTAATTTAGAAAAATATAAATATTTATTTATTTCAATCTTTAATGAGGGTGGTCCATCTATCGAAAGCTGGTCATTAGGGACCCTCAAAACAAGACAGAAGAGAGTATGAAACTAATTCAATAAATAAATAAATTTAGACAAAGGAGCCCAAATGAAATCCTGAAACCAAAAAATATATAAAAAATATACATATGAGGGGAAAAAACCCAAACAACAATTAGTTATGATATTGATACCTGTTAAAAATCACAATCTTTTTTAGTGCTTTAATTTTAACTGGTGATTTTAATTTTATTTGCAGATGTTGCAACATCTGTTCTTAAGTACCTATCAAACATATCTAACAAATTGCTGCAAGTTAATAAAACAAAATAATTTGGGGTTTTTAAGGCCTCTGATCTTACCGTTTTTATTTGTTCTACAGATTTTTCTACAGATGATCAAAGCACAAACCAAATGTTCAGAGGAAATTCAAGTCTCTGGGGACCAGAGCATACCAGCCTAGGGAATTCATCTTACCTAGAAAAACCAAGTTCAGTAACTCCAGCTACAACATTCAGTAAGCTAAGTTTGAACTCTGTGACTACTGATTCTGCCGCCATAGATAAAGGGCTTCAGTACACCAAAAACTCTGGCCAAGCAAACTCTAAACTCAGTTGTACCAGGCAATTGAACTTTGGCCATGTTGATAATGGTATTGGGACATCTTCTAATAAATATTTAAGGGAGAGTAATACAACATTTGATAATCTTGACTACACGTTAACTGATGAGTTGTCAGATTGTGCTAAGCTTATGAATGAAGCAGCACAAAGGGTATATACAAGAAAAGGCAATGATTATCAGTTTTCGGGGCTTGCCAATTCTTCGTTAGATAATGGAGACGTTTCTACCTCCCAATGTGATTCCAAATTTATGCTTTCAATCGAACATCCATATTCACTTCTTTCAAAGTCGGATTTTCAGTTTGATGAATCTCTCCCATCATGTTCAACATCAACTCTTGGTCTCAACTCTCTAACATCTAATCCAAATATTTGTATTACTATTAAACAAGACAACACTAGCAACGAAGATTCAATTTTTTCAACCAAAAGGGATTTTAGTATGTCTTCAAACGGATCACGTCCTGGACCAAGCAGCATGACTTCAGATTTTGAGTTTCCGCATGACCTCCCTGGTGATGCCACTCCAGCATTATCTGGTGTGTCGTCAACTGGAGGCAAAGAGATGCTGTCTTCAGGAATGATGTTTTCATCAAAAGGGAATTTGTATGGCCGACCAGGTCGAGTACATGCCACTAGTGCCCAAGGCGCCATGGAGGAGGAAGATGGCGGTTTAAAACGAAAAACCAGTGAAGGGTACAGCTGTGTGGTTAATAGTCCGAGTAAAGCCACAAAATCAGAATAGAAAAAACAATACTGTACATCTTTATATTTTAACCAATTTTGATAGTATTAACAATGTACGTGCAACAAATTTCTGTAAAAGGATGTATTATTTACATTCAACCGTATCCTTTTTTTTTTTAAACTCTGTTATACATAACTAATTTTTTGTCTTTTAAACTGTAATGTACATCTTTATTTTTTAACCAATTTTGATTGGTTTAACAATATATGAGCAATGAATTTCCATAAAAGGATGCAGTAAAGCGAGTCGGAGTCTAATAGCAGGAAAATGTTTAATCAAAGGTGGGAAATATGGATGGGAAAGCAATCAAATTATTTTAAAGGTGAAAGAAAAGACCTGAAATCATTCAGAATATGGGTGGGAAAACAGGAATGTAGGCTGGAAAACATTAGGAATATAAGTGGGAAGTTATTTGTGGCAGAGACAAGCCAAACCAGTCACTCGTCGCAAAAGTCACATTTTAAAATATTTAAACAGTAAAATGAGAGCTATAAAATGAAAAAAAAAACGTTGGATTAAATGATTCTTTATGAAGTTACAGGAGTTTAAACATACAGCTGTTTAAAAAACAATATTTGAGAAATTTATAGCCTTTAGAGTTTATGAGTTTGGGGATTTCATAGGCAGAAACCATTACCAAATTGTTCAAAAGAACAGCATAGCATGATATATAGATATATTTCTGAAAAAGGATTTGCGATAAGTGACTGGTTTGGCTTGTCTTTGCCGCATTTGTAATGAATGTTGTAAACATTATAGTATTAGGCAAGACTTTTTGTATACCTTGTATCACCAACTAATATTTATAAATATCGTCAGAGGAGGGCAAAAAAAAAATAAAAATAAAATTTTGTTTTCTTATTTAGCAAAATAAATTTTGCCAAAAACATCCGTATGAGGGAGAAAATAAAAATATAATTTTATTGGAGAAAGTAAACACTGTAGTAATTGGATGGTTAAATGTTTTAAATTTAAATAATTAGAAATAGAAATAAGTGATTCCTTTTCAAGGCAGCAGTGTGCGTAATAAAAAATTATTTATTTTCTGAAATTTCCATTTTTCCGTGGTATTAGGTGCACTAATTAAGGAAAAATTAAATTTAATTTTTATTCAAAATCATTTTTGGTATAAAAAAGGTAAAGCTAAACAAGGTATAAAAATTGTCTAGCCTTAGCTATGAGCATATAATTGGAAGCATAGTATGCTGGTAACACTAAAAAAGGCCAAAAAGGCAGTGAACCCAGTAGCTCATTTTAAAGCCTCATTTTGAGATTGTTATAAGAAACTAAAACCTCTGGTTTTTTTACATGATTTGAACCCAGGAGTGTGGTATTGGAAGGCAAGCATCATCAGGCAACACTTAATAATAAATAATAAAGTTCTTAACCGTTCTGAATCGACAGAACAAGTGGTTGTAATTGACTACCATAGTAGTTGACAAGCTTCAACATTGCAAAACAAAAGAAGGCAGTTTCTAAATTTATGTGTGTGGGATGGTGGGTATTATACTAGTGGTGTGCCTGTCAGTACTGAATTTTGATATTTTTATAATTGTCGTATTCAGTTTAGTATTTATTCATTTAGCATTTTTACATATTTTCTTGACATTTCTATTCCAAGACATAACTCAGGGTTGCTTATAGTGTATTGTATTCACTCTGAACATACATAACAGTTGTCTGTTTTCTAGATTTTTTTAACATAAATCTAATTTGTTACTGAAATTACTAAAGTTTTTAAATCCCAATTGTATTTTCTACTGTGTTAATAACTAGGACCACAAATTTGAACAATCTTGCTGATTGGGTGGTTGTTTTTTTTCTAAATATTGTATTAAAATGAATCATCTTCCATACCGATTTCTCATATTGTCAATATTTCATTATTGTCATTACTTCAATTGAAGGTGATGACGACGACGGTGATGATTATAGTAGTGGTGGTGGTGATGACGACGACACGTAATGATGAAGATGACATAAGAATTGTTATAAAAGCGTCAAATTGCTTGTTTAAATAAATTTGTATTTTATTCAAACATCCAACAGTGTAAACACCAATTACAAGATGAAAATAAATATATAAGAATATGATAAAGATAAAAAGCAGAACATTAAACAGTAATCATTGAAAAGCCTAAAAATTAACTTCCACAAATAAATAAATAAATATTTAATATAATTGAATGAAATAAGCAAACGTTTTCAAATTTAATACACACAAAAACAATTCAGATTTCGTGGGACGTTTTAGCACAGCTTTGCTCCAGTCAGTTTAAAGGTCTGAAACGGTATTTGTATGTGTATGTACGGGTAAAAAATATATATATATATATAGGCCTACTGCATTTCCTTTAATCAATTTCAATTGTAAGCTAAGGTAGGGTAAGTGAAGTGCAGTCCGGCGGCAATTTTTGCTGCGGTCCACGAAAATATATTGAAAACTGTGTGCGGCCGGCCGACCTATCATCTTGTTTACGGCCTGACGTGATCATCAGTAAATGTAATGTAAAAACTGAGCGTAAAGCTGTATAAAAACTGCATGAAAGTCTTACAAAGTAAATTTGAAACGTCAAAATCATTTTTTTATACCTCCATGGTTATATCAAAAATTCGCTTTGTCCTTCAAACGATTGTTATGCGCATCCTAACGGCACCCTGATGGGCGTCTGACTTATGCAAAGTTAGCAATTCATTTAATAACAAATATGGCGCTTTAGTTTCTAAACTTCTCAAAAAGCCTTATGTTATTTACCTGGTGATTTGATAAGGTGACAAGAATGCACAATGTCCAACCTCCTCAGCGGCAGATCCAGGAATTCGAAATATAGAGGAGGCCCAGAAAGGTAGTTTTTCAGATAGCGGGTCTAGTCTAGGCCAAGGTGGCGGCTGAGTATCAAAGTGTTTAACCCTCTATGGCACTTCCAGATGGCGGCTTTAAATTACATAAGATAAGGTTAATTTTATTAAAGGAAAATCATAGTATAAACAACATAAATTAACTGTATAAAGACTCCAAAATATTTAAAAATCTACTTAGAACCACTTTTTAAAAACATGGATTTAATTAGTGAACAGAGTTATCTTAGCCAAAACAATATTTGAGTAAATGCGTCATACAATTTCAGATAAATGCGTCATACAATTTCCAATACAATATGCTGCTTCGTAGGCTATAGTCTTTTTATGATGTTGAACATTTTCTCCTACTGTTTGCCTATTTCTGGTTAAAACTTGTAGTACATTATACTGTAGCCAAATGGCAAACTATTGCTTTTGTCCATCCGACAAGTGGCGACGACGTTCCTCTAGGGTCATGTTTTTTCAGGATGTTAGAAATATTATTGAAAACTTTCTTGTAGTACTTTTGAAAATAACTGTGAAACAGCCTGTGTATAAGTGCTAAATGTGATATTTCTAATCTTTCCGTTGTAAACTTTTAAGAGAAAATTTTAAACCTATGTAATTCGATACAGCCTAAACAAGTAAACAGGAAGGCCAAAACTAAATTTTAGAGGCAAGCCTCAATATATATATAAACATATATAATTTATATATATATATATATATATATATATATATATATACATTGTATAGTTATTGTCATTTTTGGCCATTATTATTTCCTATGAATCCTCGATACGGAAACAAGTGAGTGATTTGTGTTATGCGAACCCGAACACATGTTCAGTTATCAAAGAGTTTAATACTCATGCCTCGCTCGCGATTCAAAAGCGTCATATGGAAAAAAAAATAATTACAAGTAATAGTATACAATGACACCATCATATTCTATTTCGAATATTAATATAGTATTGTAGGTCTTATTTACATATTATCCGCTTTATTCTATACAGAGACATCGGTAATCATCTTTACTTCCAAAAGACCGTACATCTTCATTATTAGTGTGTAAGAAATTAATATTTAGTCCAGCTGTAGTAAAAAAAAGTAATATAGTCTTCCCTACTTTTCTTAGTGAAAAAAAAGCCAGTCTGTTAGACTGACATCTTTTAGAAGGGCCGTTAATGATTTGCCTGTTTGTTTACTAAATATGGTCATGGTGACATCACATCATGACCATATATAGGCACATCATGACAAAAGCCCTGTCTAGACTGTTACATTTTATTTGACATAAACATATAACTTGCCTAAATATGGTCATGGTGACATCACATCATGACCATATATAGGCACACCATGACTACCGTACTCGCGCGAATAAGCGCCCGGGCGCTTAAAATATTGTTTGCACTTTTTGAGGGGCGCTTATTCGAACGGGCGCTTATCAAAACAGATTGGAAATTAAGGGGGCGCTTATGGAAATAGAAGAAAATCGAGGGGTTCTTATGAGAACTTATTAAATTCAAGAGTCACAGTTTGAATGAAAAACGATTATATAAGGACATCAGGAAACCACAAATTACGAATGGTGGTGCGGCGGAAAAGATAATAGTACAGAGAGCATGGCTTGTCATGACAAGAATGTTGTAAGTAGAATAGAAGATGAAATTAATGGTGGTGGTTAGCTTGTTGGCCATCGGCCGATTGAGATTAGCAGGATGGCATGATCGACATTGTAGGTTTTCTTGAAACCTTAGATGAGAATGTGTGAGGTGCAAATTGTCGGAAAAGCAGTAGGACTAAGCTATAGAAAAATGTAAGAAGATGAAAGTTGGAAATATACTGTCTGTCCAGAGAGCTCTCATCTGTCCAAGATAAATATACTCATTTTAATATTGACTAAAGGAGAATGTGATTCCACTCCACATCACAAATCATGCCAGTCCAGGATTGACTGAATTATTGAGGGGGCGCTTAAGGAAATTTTCACGTTATTTTCGGTGGTTATTTGAGAGGGGCGCTTATTCAAACGGGGCGCTTATTCACGCGAGTACGGTATATATGGGCATACAACAGTTTTTTGTCAATGAAAATTTAATAGTGTGGACAGAGATTTATATAAGCGCACAACATTTTTTTTGTCAAAGAACTTAATTGTGTGAACAGAGTTTAAAGTCTTGTCCACACTATCGAATTTTATTTGTCAAAAAACATGTGACATGCCTAAATATGGTCATGATGACATATTTCTAAAGCTTCGTCCACACTTACCAAATTTTATGTCACATTTGTGTGATGTACTGTACCATCACAGATCTCACATAAAATTTGATGGTGTGGACTCGACAGAGATTAGAACTCGTGTATTCGGGGTTTTTTTCTATCGTTTATTTCTAACGAACTTTATCTAACTCGTTTCTTCAATTCCTTAATGTCAATACCGCTATGAGAATTTATATTCAAAAAAAATTTAATTATTATATTTCATAATTTATTATATATCATATTTATTATATATCATAATTTTACTTTATAAGAGTATAAATTGTACATTATATTGTAATTATTGTCAACTATATATCGGTTTAGCTAGACTCTTTGCCTCTTTCCCCCTTGACACCGGCCAAGTTTGTCACCCTGCTCAGTTTGTAGAGCGTCGCTTTGCAGTCATTCAATCTTTGCTATGGATAATAATTCTTTATCGGGATCGAGTCAAGTATGTGCTATATAATATAATCATTCCTCAATTGAATTTATTCCATCTGTCCTATATAATCCCCTTTCCTGCAATCGATAGTGACCCCCATGCAATTTATGGCCTGTTCTG